AAATGGCTGTGAGCTGGCCTTGTTTATATGCACCTGTGTTTGTGGACATACAAGTATGGTGCTTGCCAACCCAGCCAGTGCGTCTTTGTCTTGGACCTGAAAGAGCAGAAAGTTGACGGTTCGTGTACACCGCATTAGTGCTTGTTGCATGGATGTATTCATGTGTGGCAGAGGATCTGCAGCGGGTAGGAGCGGCTTTGGTGAAGTGTGCGATATCCCTTTCAGGTGACGTGGGTTTCTGGAGCTGCGTGCAGAACAAAGGCAGTGTTACAGTTCCTGCCTTGTATGCGTCTGGGGCACCGGGCGTACACAGGGGCTTGTGGCTGCATAGAACCGCGTTGTTGTACCTATCCGCGTTAAAGTTGGGTGTGCGGCTTCAAGAAAAGCAGGGACGGCTGCGTTAGAAACTTATCAAAGACTGTTCCACCGCAAGCGGCAGGGGGCTGGCCTTGTTGACATGCGCCTGTGCTTGTGGATACACACGCATGGTGCTTGCCAACCCAGCGAGTGTGTTGATTAGTCGGAATTGAAGGAATCTACAGTTGACAGCTTTGTGTACAGCGCATTAGTGCTTGTTGCATGGATGTATTCATGGGTGGATAAGGATTTAGAGCGGGAAGCGGCGGCTTTGGTGGACTGCGATGTCGAAGCTACGTGACATGGGTGTTTCGAGCTGTGGGCAAGAGAAAGGCACTGTTGCAGCTCCTGCGTTGTATGCAGCTGCGGTTCGGGTGTATGCGGAGGCGGTGGTGTTGCGGACTAGCATAGGTGTAGTTATGCGCGTCGGAGTTCGGTTTGCGGTTACAAGAAAAGCAGGGACGGCCGCGGTAGAATCTCATCAAGAACTGTTTAACCGGGATTTCCTGTGAGCTGGCCATGTTGACAATCACCTGTGTTTGTGAGCGTACAAGTATGGTGCTTGCCGACCCAGCCAGTGCGTTGAATTCTTGCATGTGAAATAGTACCGAGTTGAAGCATGCGTGTGCAGCGTATTACTGCTTGTTGCATGGATGCATTCATGGGTGTGAGAGGACTTGCATCGGGTAGGTGCGGCTTTGGTGGACTGTCCAATGTCGATTTTAGGTGACGTGAGTGTCTCAAGCTGCGGGCAGAAGAAAGGCAGAGTTGCAGTTCCTGCGTTGTATGCCGCTGGGCTGCGGGTGTGCGCGAAGGTGGTGGTTGCGGGGGACAGCATTTCTATACCTAAGCACGTTAGAGGTGCTTCTTTGCTTGAGCGTTCCCCAAGGCCTGCCATGCCGGCAGTAGGAGCGAGCTAGTACTGCGCGTATGAAACTGCATTTGCGGGGAGTCAGGGGTGGTCGATGCAGAGCCAGCCAGTGGGTTGCCTTCTTGGAACTGAAAACGTAGCGAGGTGAAGGATTCGTCTGCGGCGCAGTAGTGTTTGTTGCATGGATGTATTCATGGGTGTCAGATGATCCGCAGCGGTAGGAGCGGCTTCGGTGGATTGTGCGATATCGATTTTAGGTGACGTGGGCGTTTCGAGCTCCGGAAAGAACAAAGGTAGTGTTGCAGTTTCTGCGTTGTATACCGCTGGGGCGCCGTGCATGCTCGAAGGTGGTGGTTGTGTGGAACGACGTTGGTGTACCTATCCACGTTAGACGCGCGTCTGTATTTTCGAGAAAAGCAAGAACGCCTGAGGTAGAAGCTCACTCAAGAGTGTTTCACCGCAAATGGCTGTGAACTGGCCCTTTTTGATATGCAGCTTGTTTGTGGACATACAAGTATGGTGCTTGCCAACGCAGCCAGTGCGTGGATGTCTTGGAGCTGAAGGAGT